AGGGTTATTAAACAAAATGTACTTGTTGCAAGGAAGCTATCATTGTGTTTTAGCCTTTTTGGAAAGTGGAGTGATGACTAGGGGTCGCGCTCTAATTGAATGATTCCCCTAAGCTGCCTTTCGGTTTTTAGCACAAGTTGCTGCTTTAACGTCCTGACTTTTGCCTAAGTCACTGGAGACGTGTTTCCCAGCAGACATTTTTCTTTTGATCCTTAATTTTTCCTAGGTTACCCTTTTTGATTGTGGGTCCCATAGTGGATCTTGCCCTAATTTTGCGCAGCCCCCTTAGTGGGTTTCCTGCCAGGCCTTCATTTTTACAGCATTTGTGTGGGACGCCCTATTTTTATTGACCCCTAGTCATGTTTGAATTCCTGATTGTCCCTTTGTTATCCTTTCCATGCTATTATTGAGTAACATCTTTGTCGCAAGTACATTTTGTTTGTTAAGGGTTGATGGATGAGGCCTAGAGTGAATATTTAGAGGGAGGTTGCCCCCTCGAAAGTCATGGATGATTTGATAATTTCAAAAAACCGTTCCACTTGCATGAATGTCGGTGTTTTGAATTTGGAGTGAAACCTTTATGAATTCTTACTTTCGAAAGGAATACTTGAGCCACCTTTCGATTCCAACTCAGATAGACATTTCTTATTTTTATATGTCCCTAACTTTTTCATAGGACATATCCTATCGGGATTTTGATTCTTTTTTCTTCAACCTAATTTTTGCCTAGGACGTCTTTTACGGGTTTTCATCCTAGCGGATTTTTGTCATGCAATGCCTTTATTCTTTAATTGGGTTTTGTCTTGTAATTCCCTAGAAGCAAGGATTCGTCCATTTTTTATCATTCCTCTTATCCCGACAATTATCGTTTTCGCATGGGAAAGTCTCGGTGTTTGAATCGTCGATTTGGGCGTGTGATGCCCCCAATTATTGATAAGTGTTCCCCGATTTGATGTGTCAGGTTTGCATTTGATTGCAGTAATTTCCATTATCCGGTTAACACGCACATATTAGATTTCCCTTTTTATTCTTATTTATTATTTACAAGGAAGGCATGTTATCTATATGAAACGTAAAATAGGATGCAGAGACACTTGAGAATTTCAACGAATATCAATTTCATTGATTTTTGTTTAAAGAACATCTTTGCATACTATTATATGTGCCTTCCGTCTCTAATGGATGCATGTTAATGTACTATCCTAGGAGATGCATGATATTTATTTTTTTACCTAAATTTGATCATGTTTTTTACTTTACTAACGGTTATGATGCATGATTTTTGCTATATATATATATATATATATATTTTTTTAAACAAACTATCCTATATGATGCTTTAGAGTTAGGGCATACAGAAGAGTGTTAGTTTTTTTTATTGATATCTATTTATTTGTCTATAATTCCTCTCTATTTGAAATGAACAAAAAGAGAACACAACAAATGCAACACACATATGCTCAAACAAATGTACACCCGTAGACAGTCGCGTTCAAATCCTTGGTTTGTGGTCCCTGCAAGAAAAGTGCATTGTATAGGACGGTTCTAATCTCACTGGTTTTAAGGCCCCAAGGTGCCCCCATTATAGGGACCCAGTATCTCTACCGTCGTCACCTGGAAAACTCTAAGATCTGTCGTAGTATTTCGGGCTAGAGTAACCGGTTATCACCTTAAGTGTGATTTCTGACAAGGCTTGCAGGCTCCAAGGCCAAACTTGGGCCAATCGTACGTCAACCACTCCTTATGTTTAATACCCCCATGCCCCCGAGTGTAGGGGGAACTGTTGTGTGCAAAGGTTTGTGTACAATTCTTTTATTCAAAGAGATGCAGAATTCTAAACAGGCAAACAAATATTAAAGCCAAACAAATAAAGCAAATAAAGTAAAGGGGAAAAATATTTAAATTTTTATTTTTATTTTATTAACTTCATTAATTAAATGGGTCTGACCCTCTTTAAACGTCCCTAGTGGAGTCGCCATCTGTCGCAACCCGAAAATTTTTGATCTCGCGACTAATGATTTAGATATCCTTTTAAAAGTCTCATCAATTAATGAATGCCTGGAAACCAGATTAATCCTTAATTAATGGTTTTGAAAATAGGTTCATGGAGTCGCCATCAATATTTTACCCCAAACATTGGAAAAAGAAAAGGTTTTTTAAAAGTCCAATAACATTATAAACAATAATAATATAAATATTAAATCTCTTTTTATTAATAAATATTTACATACTTGAAATTTAAATTATACAATTGACCCTAAAATGTCTACATGATTGCTTTTATTATAACAATGTTTATCAAAGATAAGAAATAAAAGGGAGAGAAGAAGATTGAGTGAAATACCTCTTGAACGAGCTCTATTGAATCTTCAAATATAAAGATTTTAGGTGCTTTGTGGCAACCTTTCACACTACAATAAGCCTCACAAAACTCAAGAAATACAATAGGAGAGAGAAAGAGAGAGAAATTTCGAGTTCTAAGGAGTTTTGGACTGTGCCCGAGATTTCTATTTATAGGCATCAGATGTGGGCCGGAACGGCCCGTTCTAGATTTTTTTTGGAACGGCCTGTTCAAGATTGGAACGTTATGTGTTAATTTTGCACCCTAGAATGGCCCGTTCTGGAATCAGAGCGGTCCGTTCTGGGGTACAAATTAACACTAAATTCCCTTTCCAGAATGACCCGTTTCAAACTAGGTTTGTTAGGCCTTTTTAACCTTTTGGAACGGCCTGTTCTAATTTAGGAACAACCCGTTCCAGATCAAGTTTTTTAGGCCTTTTGATTGGTTTGGAACGACCCGTTTTGGTCTGGAAAGGCCCGTTCCAACCTACAAATTTTAGGCCTTTTAGGAGCCTTGGAACGGCCCGTTCCAATTCAAGAACGGCTCGTTCCGGGCTTGGGAAATCGAAACGGGCCGTTCCAGGCCACTAAAAATAGTTGATTTGGCTTTTAGGCCCTCTGATGTCCTATCTTGTTGTTTGTATGCCCCCAGATGAAATTGGGTGTCTACAGTAAGTTTGCGCATAGCCTCTGGCTACCAATCTGGCTTTGTATTTTTCTATATGTCCTTTTTCATTAAGCTTTGTCTTGAAGACCCACTTCACTCCTATGGGTATCACTCTATTAGGTGGATCAACTAGTTCCCACGTATCGTTCTTCTCAATAGCTTTCATCTCAGCATCCATTGCTTCCCTCCATTTCTGGCTTGCATTTGCTTCTTCGAAAGTGTTAGGATCCTCAGTTGTCATCATTGCTAGTAGATTGTCTTCTTCTTCTACAAACAGATTAGTTTCATAATCTGTTAACCATGCAGGTTGTCTCTGTGTTCTCGTTACCCTCCCTTCATCTGGAGGGTCAGTGTGTTCTGAATCCAGAGCTGGTCCAACTATTTATGTTTATGGATTATTTGTGTTATCTCCAGCTGCTATGGGTTGTAGTGTTGAACCCTCACCGACGCCTTCGTCTTGATCCTTCACATCAAGAGCAGTAGGCGTACTTTCTGTTTTGTTCTCATTCCAATTCCAGTGCTTATCTTCTTCGAACACCACATCCCTGCTGTCAATCACCTTTTTTGTAATGGGATCAAAAGGTTTGTAGCCTTTTGTCTCATCACTCACACCTAAGAGAACACATTGTTGACTCTTGTCATCCAATTTCCTTCGTCGTTGATTTGGAAAATGAACATGCGCAATGCATCCAAATATGCAAAAATAATTTACATGAGGTTTGATTCCACACCATACCTCTTCAGGTGTCTTGTATTCAACTGTAGTTGTGGGACTCCTATTCTGGATATGAACGTACCATTTTACTACCTCAGGATAGAAGGTCTTGGGAACCTGTTTTTCATGAAGTACAGCTCTTATTGCATTCATAATAGTTCTATTCTTGCGTTCTGCAACTTCATTTTGTTGAAGAGTGTAGGCAGCTGTAAGTTGTCTGGAAATGCCTTGCTGGTCACAGAATTCTGAGAATGCTTTAGATGTGAACTCCCCTCCTCGATCAGTCCTTAGATAGACAATGTAAGTTCCAACTTCCTTTTCGACATAAGCTTTGAATCTTTTAAATGCATTAAACGTCTCAGATTTATCATGCAAAAAATAAATCCATGTTTTTCGTGAATAATCATCAACAAAACTTAGTATGTACCTTTTGCAGCTGTTTGAGGTTGGTGAAATGGGACCACATATATCCGCATGGACCAATTGAATTTTATTTGATGCGCGCCAGGAGATTTGTTTTGGTATTGTGGTTTGATGTTGCTTGCCTATGAGACAAGTAGTGCATACACCTGTGGACATTTTTAGCGAGGGCAGCCCGATCACCATTTGTGTTTGAGCAAGTGTGTGGAGTCCTTTGAAATTAAGATGTCTGAATCATTTGTGCCATAGTTGTTTTTCTTCCTCGGAACAATCTTCGACTTTCAAGCACTTGGACTGTTGAGGACACATCGAAGCTGATAAATGAAACATACGATTTTCTCTCATAGGGGTATGGATAATTAACCCTCTGTCAGGATGAAATATTTTGCATGATTCATGTTGAATCAAGATCGTAAGACCTTTCTCTTGTAATTGTCCGAGACTCAGAAGATTGGTTTTAAGTTGTGGAACATAGTAGACATCTAAGATGACATGAGTAGTGTTCCCTAATTAGACCCGAATGCTCCCTTTAGCAGTCACTTCCAATGTAGTATCATTACCAAGCTTGACACTTTTATGGAGCCCTTCCTCAACTATTTCAGTGAACTAAAGTTTATTACCAGTCATATGATTGCTACAACCTAAGTTGAGAAACCAATCTTCCATTTGTACTGGATGTGTCACCTCTTCATATGCAACCAACAAGACTTCATCCTCAGTTGTTGTTGCTTTTTCAAATGTCGCGTAATGAGCTTGCTTTGTTACTCCATGGCACTCGTATTGGAAATGGCCCAGCTTGTGGCAATGAAAACACTCAATGAGTGCTTTATTAAAAGATTGTCGTCCACGTCCTCTCCCTCATTCTCGACCTCCTCTACCACTGCCACAGCCACGACTTGTCCGATCATCCTGCGTAACTTGTAGTACCTGTTCTTTTGATGGTTGAGAATCTTGCATTCGTTGTTCATGCACAAGCAGACTCCCATGGAGTTCATCAAGACTCAAGGTGCTTAGGTCATTGGCTTCCTCGATGGAACATACCACATAATTGAATTTTGAGGTTAAAGACCTGAGAATCTTGCTAACCACTATGTTGGAGTCCATTGATTCACCGTTGGCTCTCATTTTGTTTACAACACTAAGTGTGCGCCCAATGTAGCAGTCGACTTTCTCACTATCCTTCATTGTTAGGAGCTCAAACTCACGTTGGAGAGTCTGGAGTTGAGCACGTTTAACCCTTGTTGAACCTTGATACTTCTGTTGCATGGACTTCCAGATTGCTTGTGACGTACCTTTGTCCAGGATTGTTTCCAGAATTTCTCGATTGATTGCCTAAAACAATTTTTTTTTTTTTCACTTTTAGATCCTTAAGATGCACATCTACTACAACTTTTCTTTGAGCCTCGGTTGATGTCGTAGTAAGCGCTGGAACTCCGTCTTCTACAAGTTGCCATAGTTCTTTACTACGTAAGAAATTTTCCATGGCCATGGATCGAATCGTGGGATAGTTGGTTGAATGAATTTTTATGAGATATACATGGCTCTTCACACTGTTTTCTCACTCTGTATCATACCCGTTGCTCACTTTGTATCAGGCCCCTTGGTGGAGTTCTGATACCAATTGTTAAGACTCAAAGAGAATTTACTGATGCAATTCAAATATTCGTGAAAATTGCATACTTTATTCAAATACTGGAGATGACATTTATAAGCCTTTACAAAGAAACTGAAAGGAAACTGACTAACAACCTATGTGAATAGTGGACGAAAGAATAGCACCCCTAGACTCATTCTTCCTAGAAAACAGGGCGCAATTATTTAACAAATACTAAAACATAAAAATAGATAACAGGGGTGTATTGCTAGTGAAAACGCTAGGATGCCTGTAGATATGATGATTGCAAATGAAGTCTTTTCTTTCTAAATGTTTGTGCCAAATCTTGTCGACGTAATTTGGATTTCGACTTGTGAATCTTCTTTGTACAGTTTGCATTTTGCTATGAATTTTAATTATGGTTAGTTTTCCCTTAAGCTCTATATCATATTATCAATTGATTATGTTTGTAACCAAAAAAAAAATTTGATTATGTCGCATTCAACATTCTCTTCTCCTGTTAGGCACTTATAATTTCTATGCTGGAATTAACAAGACACTAAAAATTGGACGGATGCTTGGGTGGGATAGTAGAAGATATCTCCCATTGTGAGAGACCATTTTTTAGTTAGCCATTAGATATATTAGTTTTTAATTAGATGGCTAGGATTTTTGTTTTTTCTTATTTTTTCTCCGTTGTTATTCTTCTTTCTTAAATATGCATTTGAAATCTCCCCTTCAACTCTCAAGGCCACCGTCTTCCTTTCCAACTCCAACACAAGAATGTGATGGTGCCTCTTCCTGCAAATCCTCATCAAGATCAACCACATGTTGTCTTCACTGTCGTTGTTGTCGAGGTGCAATGCTGAGAAGGGTAGGAAAGCAAAGAGGGAAGAAGAGAAGAAACGGAAGAAAGAGTAAAGGAAGCGTTTCCGTAGGAAATCGCGGTGGTGCACAAGATTTAAAAAAAAAAATTGGTCATTTCTCTTTGATGGCTCTTGCTTTTAATTACAAGTTGTGGCTTGTTGTATATTCCAATATTTTGAAAATCTCAATCATCATTAAACTGTTCTAAACACTAAATTATGGTTGAGTTATAATCAAATTGATATTAATGAAATAATAATAATTATGATGAATATAAAAAATATTAAATAAACATAATATTATCATTTTTGGACCATCCCGGTCGGATGCCGACTATTGAAGGTTGCCTGACTAGACTTTATTACATATAGAAGACCGACTAAAGCTTAGGCTGAACTCCTCTATTTGGGGCACCCACTTGATCAGAGCAACTCGATGGACGTCCGAATGAGGGCCTAACACGGTCAAGAACTCGACCTTGAGCCCTCTCGCCTTCTAGGCTCAGGACTGGAAGGCAAGTGGACCGTCCCGGTCGGATGCTGACTACTTAAGGTAGCCTGACTAGACCTCATTGTATGAGGAGGACTAATTAGAACTTAGACCGACCCTCCCCGTCGAGGGCATTGGGTCTATATCCGAACATAGCTCGCTTGCCTAACCCGGTTGACAACCGAGTATATCCCCTAAATATTCCCAGTCGGTCGGGAACCGAGCCCGACCCTCTATATCGGCATCATCTCCCTCGAATATCTTGCAGATAGAAACGGTTGAGAAAATCCCTATATTCTTGGGGCCCAAGAGGCCCATAGGCAACAAACTATATAACCCAAAACCCTAGAGCGAAGACGATAGATAACACTTTTGAATGCTCTAGCTCTAAGGCACGATCTAGGAAAAAATCCTAGTCCACCCTTTGGCCAAAACATTTTGGCGCCCACCGTGGGGCTACGGTGAAACTTTTCCTACGCCCCAAGTCATACAGAAAGACCTACACTTTACCATGGCGAGAGGCGACAATAACAACAACAACTCACAACCCCCTACCATGGAGTAGATGATGGCCATGATCAATGGCTTAAAGGAGGAGAATGCGCGGTCCAGGGAGAGAGAGGAGGCCATTCAGCGCGAGAATGAAGCGATCAGGAGAAGAGCGGACAAGATGCGAGCCAGAATAGCGGCCGGGACCAGGACTGTGGAGGGGGATGTCGTGCGGGAGGTCCCTAGAGACTTTCGACCATTCTCGGAAGCCATAGAGGCCGAGATGATCCCTAGGGATCATCGAATACCATAGGTCGAGCCTTTTGATGGAACGCAGGACCCCAGTCAGCATTTGACGGACTTCCGAGCTCAAATGTTGATCTGTGGTGGGAGCATGGAGGTCTGCTGCAAATTGTTCATGGGCACGCTCAAGAAGGCGGCGCTTGACTGGTTCAGCGGTCTTCCTGATCGATCGATCACCGACTTCGATGTCTTTAGCCGACTCTTCATGGCGCAGTTCGCCGCTAACAAAAAGAAGCCGTCGATCACGTCGGACTTGTTTGACCTCAAACAACAACGTGAGGAGTCGCTGAAAGACTTTCTGCAAAGGTTTAATGAGGTCTCCTTGAGGATAGCGTCGCTGGATGAAAGGATGGCGGTCATCGCATTCTAGAAGGGTTTAAGGTCCGGGGCTTTCGATATCGAGCTTGAGAAAGAAAATTGTCAAACGATGTCAGAGGTGCGGGCTTTTGCCTTGAGTCACATCAAGACGGAGGAGAACTAGATTATTAAAAGGGCAGCGGAGAACCGAGAAGTAGGGGGGAGCAACAAGGAGGTTGACAAGCATCTCCGACTGCGATCGGATTGGAGTAAGCGACGCGATTGTTATAACACGAAGGAAGGCAACTACCAGCAGGCCGATCACATTGGTCGGCCAAGGGGCGAGTGGACACGTAACAAGGAAGAAGAGAAGTTTACTCCACTCAACGTTCCCAGGCGGCACATACTGCATGACGTCAACAGCGCGTCACTTTTCGAATTCCCAGCGGCAACCGACCGCCAGTTGGGACCTTACAAAATCGACTAGTGTGAATTTCATCGGACCCATGGACACACTACGGAGAATTGCTTCATTCTCGGGAGGCAAATTGAGCGCCTTATTAAGGAGGGACGTTTAAAAAAATTCATCGCTGGGAAGCAGGAGGAGGGCTCGTCCGACAGGCGACGTAGGCGTGAAGAAGAAGACACCAGAAGAGGAAGGCGTGAAGGGTGATCTTCCCCGAGAGACCCTCCAGAAAAAAGTACAGAGACTCACCAGCAAGCCGTCCATGGAGACTTCAACACTATAGCAGGGGGATTCACTAGAGGGGGCCCGACATCAGCAGCACGGAAGAGATACTCTTGGTCGGTGTTATCGGTCTCAGACTGGGTGAGACCATCTCGGCCACCTATCACGTTCTCGGTCTCCGACTTCGAAGGTGTATCCCCACATGAGGATGACCCGATAGTCGTCTCGGCGATAATCATGGGCTACAACGTGAAACGGGTACTGGTGGACCAAGGCAACTCGGGGGACATAATGTTTTGGGAAGCTTTCGTCGGGATGAAAATTCCGACTGACCATCTCATGCCATATGCAGGTACATTAGTTGGTTTTGCAGGTGATCAGGTAACAGCTAGGGGATACACCGGCTTGGAGACAACTTTCGGCCAGGGAGAACACATGAAGACTATCACTGTTCGATACCTGGTGGTCAATGCTCAGTCGTCCTACAGCATACTAGTCGGACGACCGGCATTGAATAAGTTGGGAGCAGTTGTCTCCACACCCCACTTGAAGCTAAAATACCCTTTACCCAACGGAGAGGTTGGGGTCCTCTGTGTTGATCAGGAAGTCGCAAGGAAGTGCTACGAGGACAGCCTGAGGGCGAGGAGACAGTTATATGTAACACAGGATGATCGGGGGGTCCAGTCAATCGAGTTAGATCCGAGGATGACTCACTTCGATTCTCGACCAGCCCCAGCGGAAGATGTGAAGGAAGTTAGCTTGGCCGAGGGAAAAACGGTCAAGATTGGCGTGTCCTTGGCCAAAGAAGATGAGGAAGGGTTGCTCACCGTATTGAAGAGCAACGTGTCGGCTTTTGCATGGAGTTCTGGCGACATGCCAGGCATCGATCCCGACTTTTTATCCTACCGTCTCATGGTCGATCCCAATGCGAAGCCGGTGATTCAAAAAAGACGAAAGTTTGGAGAGGATAAGAAGAGGGCCATAGCCGAGGAGACGAAGAAATTGTTGACAGCTGGTCACATCCGGGAAATCCAATACCCGACGTGGCTAGCAAATGTGGTGATGGTACGAAAGAGTAACGGAAACTGGAGGATGTGCACAGACTTCACCGATTTAAACAAAGCCTGTCCGAAAGATTCATACCCGCTGCCCAACATAGATTGTCTAGTCGACAACGCATCGGGGTATGAATTGTTGAGTTTCATGGATGCCTACTCAGGGTACAATCAAATTAGGATGCACCTTGCCGACAAAGATAAAACAGCATTCATAGCAGACCAAGCCACTTATTGTTACAAGGTGATGCCTTTCGGTCTGAAAAACGCGGGGGCGACATACCAGAGGCTTATGGACAAAGTGTTGGCCGATTAGCTAGGAAGGAATGTGGAGGCATACGTGGACGACATGGTCGTCAAGTCGCCTAGCATATGTCGGCATTTTTTCGACTTACAAGAATCATTCGACACTCTAGCGCTATACCAGCTCAAGTTGAACCCTGCGAAGTGCTCTTTCGGTGTCCAAGCAGGAAAATTCCTCGGT